CGTATGCTACCGGAGCTCTTGTATGCTTTCGTAGGAGTTAATTCATTTTCTATTTGTCAATTTCCCTGTCGGTTTTCCTTTCCTTCAACATTTCTTGCAATGAAAATTTGATCACAATTGTCGGGTCTTTTGCTAGCAGTCAATAATTTGTAGTTTTCCCCTGTAATATTTTCTATTTTTTTTATCTATCCCTTCCTGTCCGTCACCGTGACACCCTAGCCAGCTTTTAGGACAATTTGATAGTTTTTTAAATTCTCAACATTGATCTGTGCTATATTGTTCCTATCCGTGGGTTCTCGATGAGCTGAGATTTTTGGAATGATTTCCATTTACAATTTCTTTTTACATCTTCCGTTAGCTTCCTAGAGGTATATATCACCTCGATTAAAATGTCCTTTCTTGTCTTCATTTAATTCCTAAGTGAAGAATTCAGTCCTTTCTTGAGGATTTCTGAGGTTCACAAGTCAAGAGGGATGGGAGAGATTCATTACTTTCATCTCTTGTCTGGAGTATGAGATTAGTCATTCTAAAGTGATCTTCATTTTTGTTGAATGGTTGGACCTTGGACTGCCTATAGATCCCATATTTATTCAGCTTCTTTTTCTGCCTTTTTTTATTAACCCTGATGTCCTTTTCGACGTTTTGTCATCTTCCGTAGCTTCAGATCATGCCCTAGTCTAGATTTAATATCTAAAAACTTAAATAATTTTCCCCTCTCGCTAGCATAAGTCTCCTCTCATTTTTGCCTCTCATTGACTTTATCGGAGTGATGTTTTCTCATCAAATTGCAAAAACTAAGAGAGATGCCATAATGTTTACAACAGTTAAGAAAAGCCAAATGGCAAAATTGACGCGATTTTATTTGATATGCTGTAATCAGTTCATTGACTGGCAACCTTGCCACCGTAATTAGATCGTAGATATGAAGACCAAGATAGTGTGGATTTGTGTTTGGTCGCAGTCTGCTTTAGCTTTATAGTGTTGGTTCGACCTTGTGGAACGTACTTAGCCCCATGTCATCTGCCATAGTATTGGTGATTTCCAAGTCAATGGTCTGAACACTGGCAGAGGAGACAGGGTCTCCCTGACGCTCCAACCAACTTGTGAAGACAAGATCGAACCAAAACTATAAAGCTAAAGGAGACTGTGACCAAACAGGCCACGTTATCTTGATCTTCATATCTACGTAAAACAGCTGTTGATATATAATGAATAACTTAGGAACTAAGTGTCTCTTTAATCAATTAGTTTTTAGGTAAAATTGGACTAAATGGCACATTAAGTCTTCAGAAAGTAAGCAATAACACACGATGATGGTGAACTTCGATACTGTTGGAATTATTGGTTTAATCGGTCAAGGCATCAAGTTAAGTGCTCGGCTCGAATTAGCTAGTACTTTACATTGCCCTATAGGTACAGTGCGCGTTGGAAGAGTAACTGACTCTCGATACACATCCTGATTTGGGCTGACATTCGTCTCGTACAGAAAATCTGTAGATTTATCTCACCAAACTGAAGACACCGGATTCACCTTGACCTGCTACGAAATCAGTTATAATCAACTGAGATTAGAGCAGTATAACATTTGTATTAAAGTCCAATGGCTATTTTCAACTCTGTAATGCTACCGGAAGGCTGATCTGTGTTAAGCTAGTTTCGACTGGTTTCTTATTTTGCCGAACGAATATATTCACGGTAAGCGGAAAACATCGCTTAATTTTCGCATTGAATTTCACTTTGCCGTACATTCCAGAAACCCATTCTCATCAAGTCTGGAATGTTGTTTCAGACTCGCTTTATCCTATCATCTGCACCCCCAGATGAGGCAAACACGTTATCCCCTAATGTTCGAAAAGCGTGGATTCCAAGGCAAGGCAAGCCCCAGTCAATTCATTTATTTTTGTGGGAGAATGCATTATAATACCGACTCCAAGTTGACATATGATCACAAAAACTACCAGCTTAATGCCTTGCTTGTCTTTCAAAACTTACCTCGTCTTCTAACGAGTTTATTCTTGGATTTTTTTATATCAGCCTCATCAAAAGACGATAGTGACTTTACCAGAACTTTTTGTTTGAATAATGGCAAAATTTTGTGGGGTTAGGAAATTTAATAGGAATTAGTTGTGTTTGATTGATAGACTTAAGAATTGAGAGGATTTTGAATTACCTACAAAAAGACGACTTAACTAGATCGTTCAGTTACAGTTCAGTTATTATGTCAACAAAAAATGTATAACCCAGCGCAGATGTTACGCGTTCGTTCCAATTATCCAGGAGCATCGATGTTGGTAATGGAACTGTGCGGAGATAGATTTACATAGCTGAAGACGGCAATGAAATCAAACTAACCAAATTATTCTATCGTGGATATGAAGACCAAGATGGTGTGGCCTTCTCTTTGCTCGCACTCTCCCTTAACCTTATAGTGCTGGTTCGACCTTATCTTCTTAGTACGAGCGTCATGGAGGCCTTGTGGAACGTACCTAGTCCCGTGTCCTCTGCCAAGGTATTCGTGATTTCCAGCATTGGATACATTCCCAAACGTTTCGCCGGCATCGCCATTGAGAGGCGCCATCATAAGCACAGATTTGCCACTGATAAGTTGTAACTCTGTGCTTACGATGGCGCCTCTGACGAATTCGGCGAAACGTTTGGGAACTTACTCAGTCAATGGTCCAATGCTGGAAATCACTAATACTATAGCAGAGGACATGGAAATAGGTATGTTCCACAGGGTCTCCCTGACGCTCTGACCAAGTTCCAAAAACAAGATCGAATCATATTTTGTTGGAGTACAATGTAGAACAGAGAGATGAGGCGGTTAGTTTTTCAGACTCGATGTCAACTTGAAGTTGTTAAAGGGATAGAATCCTACGCTAATGGCGTCTGTAAAGTAAAATAATAAAGAATGCTCAATACGTCCCAATCTAAATCGAGGGGTAATGTTTAGAGAACTAGACGCCCAAGTAAAACTTTTATTAAGGCAGACCAAAGGGAATCCATCATCATTTTCCGCTTGAAGTGATTTACGAAACTTCATAGTTCACTTCGCGTAAAATGAAGTCACTACAAGAATGGCATGTAAAAATGTAGTCTTATTTTGACGAATCACGTGACACCAACTCAGAGGGTTGCAATGTGCGAATCAAATGGCATCCAGCTGATTCCGTAATGCAATTTCTGAAGGGTTTCGAGTGAAATGCAAGGAAATATTAATGAATAGATTTGTTATTCGCTATATGCAAATGAATTCGTTTCACAATATTAATCAGAACAAGTATATTAGCACAGAGGCAAATACGATGTGTGGTATCAGAAATAGGGGAAGATGGATGATGACAATACAAGGCAAATCATTATGCTGAGTTGTGTTAGTTTGATATTCATAGGCTCATGAATCCCTGTATGCTTGCATGAGAACGACAGGCGAATCAGAATAGAGCAATTATGAAAAGAAAATATCTGCAGAGATTTCGTGTGAGTAATCAACATTGATGATTCCCAATGGGAATCTAAAGGCAGATACATTATCGGTCATTTTTAGTCAAACCACGAATGTCAGAACTGGTGCGAGTTTGGGATGTACATGCTGCACAGCCAAGAGTGGGACACGGATTCTTGAGGTTCATTGTGGCCATCTATCGGATAGAAAAAGCGACGGAACGGATTAAACTTAAATAGAATACGATAAGGAAATTAAAAAAAGTTATACAGCGCATAATCTGCTGTGTCCATCTTCATCAGTATCATCCTAAACTGTGAGATAAAACTTTCATGCAGAAAAGCTAAGTCCAATATCTGACTCAAAACTATTTTTCGTATTTAAATAGAGTTTCGAGACTACCAGTAAATTAGTAATATGAGATGTATTCACCTTATTTCGTTTAAGATGATGAAGAACTGTTAGTAGAATTTTCTTACAATGATATGAGTAGAGCTGACGCTTCCATTGAATTTCACAAAATTTCCTAAAAGTTGTTCTCATCCAGAGTGGACTGTAGTTTCGACCTCGCATCGGTCTTATCAACATCCCCAGCGGGAGTCGAACCGTGACAGTGCAAAATGGGAGCTTGATATGTTAACCACTCGGCTGCATTGCCACGAGTGCCATTTGGTCACAGGACAAATGTGAATTTCAATAAAGGCCAGGCCTTTTGCCATATCATATTCTTTGGTGGGATTTTCGATGAAGCAAACGTATATTTGCTATAAGCATCGACTACGTTACTTATTTTTCGTATTTACGTAGAATTTCGAGCGAAGTCCAACATGTAACTCATAAAATTATCTCGCTGCTCAGCAAAAATCCAAGTCTGCTCGGTTAAAAAAATACGAAGACTTTTAAATTTTAATAACTGACACATCGAATATAAGTATGTCTAAGTATAATGGAAGAAATTTCGCGGCTATACACATAGTTTTTACTATAAATACACATCAGAATATTTAAAAATCAGCCTATAAAACGCGTTAACATCCATCAGTATACCTGAGTCAAGGATTTTGGGGTCCATTGGGCATCATAGAAATGTGGTAGCCGGGGCCCACTGGCCCACTCTGCTGAAGTAGGGCAGCGGCATTCGGATTAGGATCAATGGGCGTCTGTGATTGATATGTCTGTGAATCAGGCCATTGCCTCAACCAGTTTGCTGGAGGTAAGCCAGTGGGTGCCATAGTCACATAGCCAGGGTATACTGAAATCAAAGGAAATAGGGAAAATAATAACACTAATTTTTTTTAAGATAAAGCCATTTGGGGGCAGCGATATTATCATTTGCTGTACTCCGCAAAATTAAAAACCAATAAATACATTTTGAATACAAGTTAGCATGCATAATCATAAAATAAGTTAATACATTTCTTAATTACAGATGAGGATGAATCATAGTTGAATATTTGTAATTTGTACCATTTTACGCAGATTTATTAAGCGTGTCGAAAGTAAGCAATTGACAAACGGAAAGATCGTGACTAAATTATATTATGAGATGTATTCACCCAATTTCGTTTAAGATGATGAAGGACTGATAGTAGAATTCTCCCACAATGATATGAGTAGAGCTGACGTTTCCATTGAATTCCACATAGCCTTGCTTTTCCAAAATTTGCCCTCATTAACCTATGAAAAATAGGAAATGTCAGCTTTACTCATATGATTGTGGGAAAATTCTTCTATCAGTCTTTTATCACCTTAAACGAAATTGGGTGAATACATATCGTATTAAAGGATATTGAGCCATATTCAAATCAACTTCGTTAATCTAAAAACAAATAAGGGTGTGTCTAATTGAGTTTGCAAAATTAAGTGATAAGAAGTAGGTAGGATTGCAGCTTGGCTTCATCATTAATCTTAATGATTATATTTGGAAGTGTGTGGAATAATAGTTTTACATTGCTTCAATGTCTGTAATAAGAATGACGTAAACTCAGTACAAACGGATCGAAGTCGGAGGACTAAGTGCAGACAACTTCATAACTTAGATCAAGTCAGAACTGCAGGACAATCTTCATTTTGTTCTCGATTGAGCGTATTTTTTGAATTCATTCGGCCAAACTCTTAATTAAAAAAAAATTTGAACAGCATTAAGCTGAGTCAAGATGGTGATATGAAATTGTGGCCACACCAAAAGCCAATGTATCTTGCTC